CGCGTTGCAAGTATGTAATTAAAATACGTATCGCTAAATGAATGAGATGAGCTTTGGTCATTCTAGGTTCGTCAAAACCGTCTGATGACGGACTGTCGAAAGAAAAGAAACTTGTGGCAGTTGCGACAGCCACTCACAACCAGAACCACGGTGTAAAGATACAAGGTGAAGCAAAAATATTAAGTTGTTGATTGAACATCACAGGCTAACAGTATAACGAGGCTAAATGTAAATTATAGTCGAACTTTTCGTCACAAAAGATGGAAAGAACCTGCGTGAAACAGAGCCAACAGTAGACTCATTTGGAAATTTCATTAATTAATCCGCTAGGAGATTAATTTTAAAGAAAACTCGCATTTAAAATCCGTTGAAGACTAGGATGTAAGGAGGCCAATCAACGGCAGAAATTCAGGAAAGATAAGCACAATTCCCAGCATACAAGGAGTCCAATAAGTGACTGATTTTTCGTTTTGTTTTCGTCGAAGGGAATATTCGAATGTCGCATTGCGAGTCGCTCTCCATTTATCAGCGACATCAATTCAGGTTAATTAACAGTTAAATAAGATGCCTCAGTGGTCGAATTGGTGAGACGCCCGTCAGAGAGTAGGGGAGTCCAGGCTCAAATCCTGGCTGAGGTAATACGTTAACTAAAAAGCTTGATTCTAGTTAACTAAGAGTCTCTCGGAATATTTGCCTCGATCCATCGTGCAATACACACACGGACGTGTCATATTTCGAGAAACTCCACAAGTTCCGCGCCGACAGCGTTCGAGAGGATGAGAATCGATCCGCGCGCAGTCAATAAGCACTCGTGATGCGTGTCACGACATCATTGGTCTCACGTGGGAGATCACGTAGGCATTTCGTAGGCGTGAATTACAGGTGTCGTCGGACAGTGGGATGCTATAGACGTGACGACGACTCCGGGACAAGTTGGAGCGGATTCGCCGTGCGCCGGCCGGCGCGGAGGTTGAAATTTATCCTCGTCGCGCTGGTTTGTCGAGAGGGTTTCGCTTCGTCCCCGACGACCGACGACGGCGAAGGCGCGCGTGGCTCGAACGAACGTAAATAACGCGTGCACGCGAGCGTCGCGGTGATATGACGTACATTTTCGCGTCTTCGAGATAAGCGAGAGAGGACTCGGCGAGACGATTACACGCGCCCCATTACCGATTAAAGGCGAACAATACAGTCGTGCCGCGACAGGAATGCAGCTCGTAAATGTCACGGGCGGGGAGCCGAGGCCTAACGGGCAGCTTGGAGATGTTTATTGCTCTTCTCGCCTTACGAGACACGCTCGTCGTGGACTTATACCTGCTGAATGAAAAGGCGCCGACATTACGATTCTCGCGTGGGGGCTCGCGAGCCACGGATACCGCGGGACTACCGATCTCTCTTTACGAGAGACGCTGCGCGCGAACGCGCGACGACCGTCTTTTAAGAAGAAGAAGAATTCTTCGTCTTCCAGTTCCTATCCGTTTCGGATGCTGGCAATCATCATGGCTATTACGCCCTTATTTGCGGCTGCTGCGAAATAGTTGTGCAGTGTTCACCGCGAACCACGTTCTGAGATTTTTAACCATGAGATACTTCTCCTCCCCGCATCTCTTCTTCTTAACACTCGTCCCTTGCACTAGGTTTTGCAGTAGTTGAAATCTGCTTTCATTCCTCATAATGCGTCCTAGATATTGCAGTTTCCTACATTTTAGCGCACTAAGAACCTCCTTATCTTTCTTCATCTTACGCAGAATTAAGACGAATACTTTGGACGATTTATGTGCTGAGGAATACAAAGAAACGCGGCCATTCTCTATAAAGAACAGGAGAAACGTTCGAATGTGTCCGTACCTCATCTTTGTGGGAAATTCACGTCGTACGATGTACCTTTACATACAAGGTTGAATAACGTGGAATTAAATTGGAGTTGGATCGAACCCATGCACCACGTACTTAGCTATTACTCGTATATAACTATTACTCATAGATAATAGATACATACAGTTGCGAAAACTGCGATTCGAATTTGATTAAAAGCCTACAGTTAGCGGATAAGGGAATGGAGATTGCGCGTTTTACAATCGCGACACGGGCTAAAATGAGGATGATCAAAGGTCGACGATCGATGAATCATTAGATCGTGATAATGATAGCCCGATAAGAATTAGCAAATCGACATCACAATAGCCTATGGTGATCGATGTTGCGCGCGGCCGATATAGATAGCGCGTGTCATTATTGTTCCCGCCGCATTCGTACGACAGAATAATCTTCACGATTGACTTTTGAGGTCACGCGACTGCAGAGATTCTTCACAAAAAATGTCGCGTTTAATGAGAGCTACAACTTTTAATCTTGCAGTTGCGCTAATAAATATTTCGCGAAGTGAACGATATCACTTCAATCTGCCGAGCCTCCAACGGAAGCCAATTAAAAATGTAAAAGTTCGTTTCTTCAGATTGCCAGTATTAATAATCGACCTCGGCTGGTCGCATTTATTAAATTAGCTTTCACAACGTGTCGACCTTTGGTTTAGCTCCTTATCGAGTGGGATCTTGTTACGGAGTCATGTCAAATACAAATAAAACCGCATAGCGGAATAGAGTTCTGTGTTACGAACAACCAGATGGCACACATAGTTCTATGAACACACTTCTGGAGTGCAAATCTTCTCAATTTCAGATTATTCCAATCGAACGTTCTATAAATATGTGCAGATTATTACAATTAGAAATCGTATATTCCTAACAAAGAAGAACGTTGTTAGAATATACGTTCGGAATAATTTTTGAATATTCATCGAGTTCATGTATTGCACATTGTTCATTGTGTAATACACTTATCTTATGCAAAAGGCAGTGAAACCAGTGATCGTACCACACATAAACGGCACGCTACATTCGATAGATTATTTTATTCACATTCGAAAAAGATTTATAGTAGTGCCAGTCAATGTTCCACGAACATAAGATAAATACACAGGGTGTCCCAATTTTATGTCCCACCCCATATAACTTTGTATTTTTGCAATTAAGAGTTAGAACGACTTGAGCTGGCAGAAATATTTTTATTTCACAGAATTAAATCACGACGTTTCGACCAGTAACACTGGTCCTTTTCAAGTGCTTTACGTTACACCTACCAATTGTTACAGCAAAAGATAGGAATTAAGCGGTCGTAGTGCACAAAAAATTTGTTGAAACAAATCAATATCCATCGAAATAAAGAGATCTTATTCTACTAATTAATATGAATAACTTTTGCCTGAAACACTTTTTGATTTGCCCAATACTTTTTGAGATATTCAGGAGAAAATTTATAACTTGTTCAATGTTTAGCTTATGATATCTCGATAGCTGTTTGTCGGAGGGAAAAGTAGTACAGGCTGTTGCAATAGTGCTCCAATTATTGAAAATTTTTGTGTATCGTAACGTACGCAAAAATTTATTTTGTGTCCCCCTTCGAACCAAACAACTTTTGTCTGAAACGTTTTTTCTGCGATCAAAAATAAAAAAGTTACTTGGTAGTGGGACATTAAATTGGGACACCCTGTATAAGAATGACCTGTGGAATATTTCAAATATTCTTAAAATGTTCATAGGAGTGTCTTGTGCTATCTGGGTGAGAGCAAAATTTCCACCAACGTTTCCGGAGCCGAGGGACGCGAGACCAAGGCTGGAAATGTAAAAGTTTTCGCTGTTATACAAATGCGTGCGCGGTTTTGAAATATTTTAGCGAGGACGCGCCGTAGAGGCTCGAGAGAAATCAAGACGTGATCCAGATACAATGAATTGTCCGACAATTAAGACCCCGTATCGTCCAATTAGGGAGTTCAATCTCAGCGGCATTCTTCGATCCTTAATTAGTTAACTGCACCTCGCGCAGGCGATCCTCAAATTCGTTTTAATGTCACCGGAAATGCAATTATATCTAATTACTTGTACAGTTTTGCGATTCATCGCCGGATAGAATTACATTGCAGCTGATCGTCGATAGAACTAGAAAAAATGTACGTCGATTAATTTCCTACAATGTTATAAAATTGAAGAGAGATATTACGTATCTTCTAGCGCGCTATATATAAAACGAGACGTGTGATTCACATTTATCGTATGATTCACACGATAGGCGAATCATTAAGTTCCATTTGTTTACAACCTCACGCGCGTTAGTTTCCGTCGACATTCCTTCCCTCGGAAAATTAAACCTTCGGTCAATGGTTTCGAGTTAAGACGCGATTTAAAGTCAGCAAACTTTACCTTCGCGCAACTCGGCGTCAGATTCGCGCGAGTCTTCTCAAACGCCACTGTAGCGAGCGACGGGAGGCGAGGGACTCGACTCTATCCTCTTTTTTTTTTAAGTATTTGGTTGCGAGCCTCGTGCTACAAATTTCGCGCGAGCGAATTCATAATCGAAACGCATTAAAACGCCGGCGTGCGAGTAAGCGCGTTTCCCTTACGTCCTCGTTTGCGCGCTGTACTCGCAGCACGAAACTCGGGGAGGATTCGGGCTCGAGGCACGAGTGAGATCCAACTCCGTTCCCTCGGACTCAATTGGTAACACCTTCCGCCCGCGTATACCACGAAATCTCGACGACGCGCGATCCGGAGTTGGAAACGCAACGCGCACGAGCGTGTGGCGTCCGCGAGTCGGTGCAGCGGGCAGGCGCGCGCGCGCTCGCGCGCCTTTCGTCAGCGCGATTTTTATCCGCCGTGCGTCCTCTCGGCGGTCGTTGGTCGCGGGACTCGCGGGCCAGGCGCGCAACGCGGCCATGCACGCCACGGAGGACGGCAACAGGTGTGCGCGACCGGGCGATTCGCCACGGCGTCGCAACGGTGCCGCTCGGAGCGTTACGAGCAGCCACGAGCGCGCAGTCACGACGGCCTCGCCGTTCCCTCGCGCGACTTCCCGACGTGTCGCTCGCTCGCTCGCTCGCGGCCGAGGCGGGGACGCGCGAGACCGTCCCGTGGGCGCCTAAGCGCCAGACGAACGGGATCGCTTACCTTATTTACAAATTTTGTTCACAATGCACACCGCGCGCGTACACCGACGGACTGAGGACAGCCAGATGGGCCGGGGTAGGGGAGGGAGGGGGGGGCGGCGGCACTCGGTCCCCAGGCGAAACGGAGAAACGGAGCGAGCGGCGGAGCTACGTCCCGAACATGCTCGACCGCGAATACCCCGGCGACTGACTCCGACCTGCTCCGACCGTGAGCCGTGAGGCGTGATCCACGATCGACGCACCGTCCTTACCTGTCCCCAGCTCCCAGGTGCGCCGCAGGTAACGCCGCCTGCCATTGGCCCGCCGCCACGAGACCGTCATGGCGGCCGGGCCCGTTCGAATCGGCAATCTTCGGCCGCGCGCTGCCCGGCCGTTACCTGCGGCGCCTCAGGATCGTACGCGGGGGCATCGCCGCGTACGGTTCGACGGCGATCTCTCTGTCGATCGATCGATCGACACTCGGAAACGCGTTTCCGGTACTTTCGGTTTCTTCGTTCGCGACGGAAACGGAACGGGGCGAATACGCGTCGGGGTAAATAGGCGTTACCGGTGGCTGGCACGTTTTAATCGCGATCGGCGTGGCGCGAGGCACCGCGATCGAATTGCACCGCACGCACCATGGAAGACGAAGAGTTCCGAAGACTGGTATCTCGAGCCAATAGAAGTACCTGTTACAAAGGGAAATTGTAAAGAACGTAAAACTTGGGGAAAGGTGGGAAACACCTGTTGAGAATGCAGTTTAATCGACCGGGTCGCGGCTAAACGACGATCGATTTAACGCCGTCGCGCGTATACAGCGAATACCGTAGCGACGAATCTTTCGATCGTTTTATTCGGCAGGGCGGATCTTCAAGTGGAATGTCATTTTCAGAAAATGACATTCGTAATATTTCAGTTGAATTTAATTGACTGGAGATTGATCTTAAAAAAATTCTCTCAATTTAAAACTGATCAACTTGTTCGAAATTGAAGAAGTAGAAGAAATTAATTCGAGTTTAAAAATCGAAACAAATTGTAGATTTTGTTACGATGTCTAAACCCATATAGCACCGAAGCTTTCAGAAACATTTCAGAAAACACCCACACAGCACAGCAAGATTGCAATATTGCTGCAACGTTGAAATGTCCGCCGTCAAAGAGATTGCAGTGCAACATTATAGCAATGTTGCAGTGCAATATTTTTGGAATAATTTGTTGTACATAAGCAGAGAATTTACTAATTACATATGCATCCGGGCCTTTTTCAATACACAGCAAGCTATTGCGAGGCAACCTAAGGCGATTATGTCGCTTCGCAATAGATGGAGATTGCGAGCAACACCGCACTGATCAAGAACTTAATAATTCGCGCATTACTGGTATCAACGAAAATAACGTTATAAAATTCTCGTAGTTAGAAAACATTTTTAAATAGAAAATATAGTATTTTTATTATTTTTGAAACATTGCTGCAATATTGCTATCGAAAGTTGGCAATTTTATATCCCTGCAATGTCTCTGCAAGATTGCAACGTTTCTGCAATGTAACTGCAACCATCTGTGCTGTATGGACATTGTTGCAACATTGCAACAATGTTTTCTGAAATGTTCTTGAAAGCTTTAATGCTGTATTGGAAGTAGTTGCATTTACTACTCGCAGCGATTAATTGACATTGGTAACGTGACAACTCGATACTTTTATAAAAATAATTGTAACCGACGGAACGTCCGGCGCACAAACAATTCAATTCGTTGCGTGCAGTAGACATTTTTACATTGCTTTATAAAACAAACGTATATTTAAACATGAAATGTTTCATACAACTCTTGTTTTTTTATACACGTACGTATCTCGTCGGAGAGAAAGGTAACGAGTTCAAGGAAATATCAGACATTTCCAGTGGATACATATTAATTCCTATACAATTTCATTTATTCCTCTCTTCAGGGTTGAAGATAAGATTAATTGGTATCTCACAATAAACACTAGGCGCCATTAACTAGAAATTTATTAACACGTATTTATATTTACGTATCATTCTCATAGTCCTTGGGATTCTTGCGAGAGATAATGTTGTTCTGCTCATTCGCCCAATTCACGAGCAAATAGGAAAACATGAAGACTGCAACAATCGATAAAAACGTTACGTTACGAAATAAATATAGCTTTATCAATCCTTTCGCGACCAAATTATTTTGTAAGCCGGACACTAGCACTCCGAGGAGCCAAACGGTAAGTGAAGTATTTATACGTCAGTGGTCGTGAAAGGATGAAACATTCAATTATTAAATTATGCTTACAAGGTGCGACGCGGAATATGCTCGAGTGGATACGGCGAATGGTATTTGGTATACCTTCGGAAATCATTCCTCCAAAGGCTTTCTGCTCGTACGGACTGAGTCGGAAGTAGACGATGCCATTGATCTTGGCAAGATTTCCGAACTGTTTCCCCATTTTGACCGAAGCCTGGAAAATTCAATAGTTACAACCGTGACAGCATACTCAACGGAACATAACCAATCTCGTATAGCCGTAACGAAGACTCTACGAAATGTCTCTCCGATACCTCAAACTTGAATTTTAAGAGTTCCAAGAGTTCGGAGCAAAATCCAAGACAATGTCAGAAACATGAAATAATTACATAATTTTCTGTACTCACGTAGGACAAGCGCCGTGATATTTTTACGATCGATCCTCCATAGACTTTCACAAGACCTGATGTCTGATCCTGATGGTTAAGACAAACCACGCGATGCTGCTGCACGTCGTATCCAATGGGAGAATTAGTTCTTTAGGGACATTAACTAGAACGATAATTTGTCCCTAGAAAATAGATTCTCTACTCTCAATGGCCGCGTTCAGCAGACACAACTGTTGAGTGAGCGCTCGGTATGATTGGTCACGTTCAGCAGGCACAACTGTTGAGTGAGCGCTCAATGATTTCTTAACATGATTGGCTGGATCTAAAAGTATTAACCAATCATACTGAGCGCTCACTCAACAGTTGTGTCTGCTGAACGCGGCCATTGGTTAATACTTTTAGATCCAGCCAATCACGTTAAGAAATCATTGAACGCTCACTCAACAGTTGTGCTTGTTGAACGTGGCCTGTGTTTTACAACACTGTGCAACCGTTGACAATGGCCGCGTTCAGCAGACACAACTGTTGAGTGAGCGCTCAATATGATTGGTTCATACTTTTAGATCCAGCCAGTCATATTAAGAAATCATTGAGCGCTCACTCAACAGCTGTGTCTGCTGAACGCGGCCATTGGTCGCGTTCAGCAGACACAACTGTTGAGTGAGCGCTCAGTATGATTGGTTAATACTTTCAGATCCAGCCAATCATGTTAAGAAATCATTGAGCGCTCACTCAACAGTTGTGCCTGCTGAACGCGGCCAATAACGTTTACGCAATTGTAGAATGGCCTTTATGCGGGGTCTACAGAATAATCGACTGTAATTGGTCGATTCAGCCGGACACATGAGAATTAACCAATCATAGTCGACTTTTCTTACGACTACGATTTTACGACATCTATGTGGACGAGGCTTTATCTATCATTAAAATTAAGATTAGAAGCCTAACAAAAAATCTATTCACTCGAATAAGTTGTAGATTATTTAACCTAATTTCAAAACTTAATTTCAACGATACCACGCTGTTCTTTCACTTAATCTGAACAGTGGGACACCGTCGGTCTGTACATACACAAAAGCCACACGATTTGCATATTACACAAATGTTTTCACGAATGGACAGTTCTAGGAGCAAAAGGTGCCAAAAGCGCAGAATCACTCCAGGCATCCCTTAATAATTATCATAGCAACTCTAGCGCATGATGTAAGGATTCTAGCGTCTGATGAAATCCGCGTCTCTCGCCACCCGCTGCGAGTCGACGTTGCGCACGCACGGAATCGTTCGCCGTTTAGCGTGGCAAATTGTAGCGAGCGGCGCGAGCGCGCAGCCTTCGTGTCCATTCGTGCCCTTCGCACGATGCGTATTACGTAATCGAGCATATATCGGAGCGAAAAACAACGCATCCGCAAACACCTTCTGTCTCATGCGCGCACCGCCTAGCTGCGCGAGAGCCCCGCGCAGACCGCGCAGGTCCGCGGGGGCGTCACGTGACGACGGTGCGCGAGGTGCGCGAGCAGGCGAGAGTGCGGTGCAAGATGGCGATTGGCCACAAAGCAGACGGAATCGACGGGACGGATCCCTCGCGGCTCTCTCGGCCGCCGGCAGTGGCGCTCTCGTCGAGCCGTTACTCAAGTACAGTACAGTGCTGTGGCTGGCGGGGGTGCGGCGGGCGGCGGGGTGCGAGCGTAACGCGGAGAGAGAGAGAGAAGGTAATCAGTCGCGGTGGCTCGTGTGCGAAGCTTCACGTAACGTCGATGTTGCATCCGCGTGATTCGTCGCGCGTCGTTTATTGTCGAGCAGCAGCCGCAGCCGCAGCCGCAGCGGAGGACGCAGAAGCTGCAGCAGCGTCCAGTGGAATCCGCGCGCGTGGGAACATGATCGATCCGGGGGCGCGTGGTAACGTGGTACCGCGATTAAATCGGGTCGAGTAGCGACGTTGAGCGACGACGACGTCGCCCCCGGTGGTGCCTGGCGCCGCGCGAGGCCTTCGCTCGAATTTTAAGTGCGTGCCTGCGTGCCACCGCCAGAGTCCAAGCCAGAGCGAGCCAGCCAGCTCAGCGTCGAAAGTAGCGGACGGCGTGCCTCCGCTCCCTCCTCCTCCCCCCCTCCCCCACCCCCCTTTCCCACCGCCCCGCGAGTCATGGGATCGAGGAGTAATAACGAGAGTCGCGGTTGCGGGACTAAAGGCGCCGCCGGTCAAGACATGGCATGCGACCGCGCCGAGACCGACTTTGAGTTCGCGGTGCCGCCGGAAGCGCCGGTGTTCGAGCCGACCGTCGACGAGTTTCACGATCCGCTCGCCTACATCGCCAAGATACGGCCGATCGCCGAGAGGTCCGGCATCTGCAAGATCAAACCGCCACCCGTGAGTAGCTCCCCGTTACGCCGCTCCTGTTACGTCGTCGCGCACCAGAGCCTCTCGCTCTCTTCGTCCTCGTCGAGTCGATCCTTCCGCGTGGACTCTCTCTCTCTCTCTTTCTCCCCCTCTCCTCTCGTGCAGCTCGAAAGAAAGGCCCGCGAGAGTCTCGCATCCTCGTGCGACCTCGTTTTTACGGCCGCGTATTTTTTAAGATAAGTAGCGGCGATTACGGCAGCGACGACGATGACAATAGCGAGGAAGAACGGAGAGAAGCGGGTCCAGCGGCGCGAGGTTTCCTCGCGCGCCGACCGTTCTGCACGTCGCTTTTTTCTCCGCGAGTACGCGACAATCGTGCACGCGCCTCGCGGCCAGAACGGCGAGCAAAAGGAACGGGGGAGAAAAAGGAGTCGGGACGCCGAAGAATCGAACGAGACGGCGGGCCCCTCGCTCTCCTTTTCTCCTCCGCGCGGACGCAACGCTGCTCGCGCGGCCGCGTTAACGGACCCTCCTCGCGGACGCGACCTCGCCGACGACGCCGACGACAATGTCGGACGACGCTGGTGGAAACGAGCGTCGGGGACGTCGGGCCCGAGCGCGCGCGGCGAATTCAACGAGGATCGACGCGTCAACTAGCGATAAACTGCGACGATCGGTGCGACGACCGCCATGTAAGATGGCCGAGGGACGACGGGACGTGACGGGGTCACCTCGGGGAAACTGTTTTTTTCGCGTAGACGCGCTTTCCCGTTTTCCCGGAGGAGAGGCCACGGGGAAACTTGGCGACCGCCGACGACGCGATCCCGTTAACGTCGCGCGCCCCGCGGCCTCTCTCGGGCGCGCGGCTCCGCGGCTGTCCTCGTCGCTTCCGCGTCGCCCGTCCGCTCGTCCGCTCCTCGGAGCGGAGCTGAGCTTTCCGCGGGCGTGTACGCGCCGAAGGGAATCTCATCGCTGGGCGCGTTGCAGCTCGCCGCGTGACATAATTTTTTTCTTCCGCGCTATCGTCACCTTTCACTCCGCGCGGGCTCTCGAGCGTAGCCGTGCAATTCGGGTCCGCGAGCGAGAGCGGGCGAGCGAGCGAGCGATCGCGAAACCTCACGCGCGATCTTCCCACCTGAGCGTCGCTTCCCCGAGCGGACTCGCCTCGCCGTCGGTTTATGCCACCATTAGAAACGATTTGCGCCATCTTGTTTCCGCGTGCAAAGAGGAAAAACTCCGGTGCAACGCCGGAAATCGCGCACGTTCCTCCGTAACGGCGAGCGTGGGCGACGCGAGTCGCCGGCGTTTTTTCTCCCTTTTTCGGCGGCTCGCGCGATCGATACACGCGGAGGCGCCGTCGACGCCGCGATAGATTTAGCGACGTGGTTTCCGAGAGATCGTTTGACCGGCGACACGGTGTATCGATCGCGTCTCCGTTCGATATATAAAATTTCGTCCTCCGTCGCCTTCCTCGTTAAACGCCCGGCTCGGCGCCCGACCAGGTTTTTCCGCTCGTCCGCGGGCGATTTCGGCGTCGCGAATCACGAGCGACGGGCGCGCCGAGATAATGGTAATCTTTAATAACCGACCGCGAAGATCGCGGGCAATTCGCGGAGAAAACATTGCCGCGCGAAGGTGAAACGATAACGCGTAGAACACGCTCGCCTCGGGCAGGTGCAAGCCTCTCTGCCCGTCAACGCGCCACAAACTCTCAAGTAATTATTGATTTTTACCTACGCCGGCTAATCGATACCTGATTGTCCCGGCAGTAGCCGATTGTTTATTATCTCTCTCTCTCTCTCCCTCTGTTTTTGCCGAAATCTCACAAGACGCTTACTCATTCATCCCGACGCGATCGATTCACGAGATCGCCTAATTTACGGCGCATTATTTTTTTATCTAATCGCTTATTAACGCGCGCGACAGCGAAGAGCACCTCCTCGCCAGCTGCTTTGTTTATTGATTTCGATATACAAGTGCAACGCGATACGGGATTTCGGCCGAGACGTCAGTGCGCAGTGTCGGCTCGTTTTTCGAGGCAACCTTTTATCAGCAATGGCGTTCTGTATCGATAAAGGCTGGACACGAGGCGTACCCGTTGATCGCGCACTTTTTTTCTTTTGCGAAGGGCACGTCTTTCCCCGAGAGCTTGGTCTCGCTCCGCAAGGCAACTCCGTGCCCTTCTCGAGCCTCGAAACATATTCCGATCGTGCGTCGTCCGTCGTCGCACGCCGAGGAAACGGTAGGGGAACGACGCATGTACATACGTGGAATCGATGTACATACCCTCGGCATCTCGCCGCGAGAATCTGTCTGGGAGGTGAACTGCCCGCGGCGAGTTTACCCTCGAAAGTTTACCCTCGAGTCCGCCCTCGAGGTGTCCATGGCGCGGACGCGAAACCCGCGGTCGCGTCGACGTGCCCGCGGGTCCCGTGTCGCTCGCGGATTCTCGCGAAAGAATCAATGGAGGTGATATATTTATGGCGTCACGTCTGAAATTGGGCGCGGAGCTCTCGGGGGCGGAGGCAGACACGCCGTGCTTACGACACGTATTCGCGCACTATGACCGTAGATTTCGGAAACGCGACATTTGTCTCTCTTTTTTTTCCCCCCTTTTGTGATGTAACGCGTATGATACTGTCGGTTACTCGTTTTGCATTAAACTCTTGACGCGTTGCGCAGTTAAACGCGCAGTCACAGCGAGCTCGGCTGATCCTGGATAAACTTTCCAAATTTTATTTAGCGTCCACACTCGACTCGCTTCCGAGGCAGAACCCGCCCGATACAGTTTCTCTGTTCAGTTGGGGGTGAAGTCGCGAAAAGGTCGGATCTCTGAGTTTTTTTAACTACGTGTATTTACGTACTCTGACGCGCTGATTGCGGATGCGACAGTGAAAATTGGCGCAAATTTGGTTTTCGTGGCGAAAACCGAGGGGGAAACCGCCTGAGGGCATTGTGGTGTACAGATTTGCGGCATTAGTGGGCATTACTAGGCGTTACTAGGCATTTTTTGGGCATTAGGCCTTGCTGGGGCATTATAAAGATAAAATAAGAAAACAAGGTAGATAAGACAAAATAAGATAAACTGGGCATCAGTCAGCACTTGTGTACAAGATTTTGGTATTGCGGTGTACAGATTTGCGGCATTAGTGGGCATTACTAGGCATTTTTTGGACGTTAGGCCTTGCTGGGGCATTATAAAGATAAAATAAGATAAAACAAGCTAATAAGATAAAGTAATGCCCGCTGGGCA